TCTGTCAGGACCCACAGTTGTTATTATTTAAATTAAAAGCCTTCCGGAACAGGAAGGTTTTGACCTGGCGCCAAAATGTCATCAGCATCGGCACCAGACAAATCTGTTGGGAAGGCATTCCATAGTCTGGGGGCAGCTGCCGAAAAGGCCCTTTGTCTACAAGCCATCCCTCTTACCTCCTTGAGGGATGGCTCTTTCAAAAGGCCCCTCTGGCTAGATCTTAACTGATGGGTAGTCTTCATATGGAATGCAGTCTTCACTTTACCTTCCAAGATTCCATGTTGTCTCATTGACTGCAACCAAAATAATTTAGCAGTAAGGTAATATCTATCCAATTGTCAGCAGAGGCATAAAAACATACTGGGCATTAATAATTTTAGCTACCTCTATGAGAGTTAGACATATGGAGATACAACTTTGGCAATACCAGCATGATGATAACCCTGCATACACAGCAGTTTCTATTGGATACCAGCAGGGCTATACCATATACAGAAATAGTGTATGTACTTCCTTTCTGCAAGAGATATCTAACAGGAGTGAATTTATCTTCTGCTTCAGATTAGCTATCTTACCATTCTATACTTCTAACTTTAAATCAATTTGGATAAAAAATTCTAGTTCTTTGTAAGAACATAGATGCTGTTTCTTATTTAGAAAAATATACATTGAGCAAAGGTAAATGCCAAGGGCGAACATTTTTCCTACCATTAATAAAATTCTTGGACCAAAAAATATGTCTCAAAATATCTGTTGATTTTTGCATGGGGTACTTTTATATTCTTGCCAATATAACATATCGGCCCCCCAAAAGACTAGTGTGTCCATAAGATGGTGAACCATACAATGGTAAAGCAGAAGTGACATACTGCAACATTGACTCCATAGTAGGTTGACTCCATATGGTCATCATTAATTGTTAAAAAAAGAGGAGAGTATCAAAGGTCTTTAAAATTTGACACAGAGTTTAAGAAGATAATGGATGGACACTTATCATTTATAGCTAGCTAGCTTTCCAAGTAGGAAAAGTACCAAAGAGGATTGTCTCTTTCACAAACTGTACCATTGCAAATATGTCAAAGGCTGGAGGCTATAGGTATGATCAGGCATTTGCCGCAGAATGAAATCTACTGTACGTGAAATTCTAGCTGTCCAGGATCTTGGTTACATCACACTGAAGATTCACTGAAGTGATAGGCAACTCCATATAAATCTGTGATTCTCTTGACAGACTGTGCCATTTGGAGATACAGTTTGTCCTTCCCTGACCTGGGAAATGTAAGTTGTAAAAATTCACTACATTGCAGCTTGTCACCCCAGTGCTTTTCTGTGTGTGTTTGATCTGATTTGCAAAGACCAGAAGAAAAATGGATAGTAATTTGTCCAAAGTTATCCACATACTGTATATCCAGGCTCAGACATAAAACCTTCAGGTACAAAACTATAATTATTATAGATTATGTATATGTCCTATTCAGTTCTTTTGTTGTAAGAATTTTGTTTTACTTCGCTTTTTGGAGAGTGAAATCATAGGATGTATCTAGTATACCCTTTAAAACTTTTTAGGTTCATGTTTTAAAATGTCGAACTTCTGTAAAAAAATTAAAACATTTTTAAAGTCTATATTGTTCTTGATATCGAACAAATGAATAGAAGTACAGTAATTTCTGGTAACATTGAGTGAATATGAGGAAATGTAAGAAATTTAAAATATTGCTAACTTCACAAAGTAAAATTAAAATAAGTATGCAAGCTGCCTTAAAACTGAAGTGTGTGACTGGATAATAATATGTAGTTAATTTGTGGGTCGATCTGTTTCATATCTTCTGAACTAGGCTTTTTGTCCTTAGACATTTAGTTATTGGGTAAGAATTATGATTCTGCCTATGGATACATCATCCTAGCTGAAAGGCTCAATGAGTTAGGGACTTGCCTGCAGTATCAGGGGTTGAGAGTTCTGTTTCCCACTGTGCATCCAAGAACAGCCAGTCTATGTATCGTTAGGCAAGCTGCAGAGCCTCACACCCCAGAAGAACTCAGTGGTAAACCATTTCTGAGTACTGGAAAAGGCAGCCGTAAGTCAGAAATAACAACAACAACAACAACAACAACAACAACAACAACAACAACAACAACAACAACAACAACAACAACAACAACAACAACAACACTTTTTCGGAGTGATCTTGTGCTTCACTTAACAATTTTCCCTATGGACGATTTTCGCTTAATGATTTCGGGACCATGCTTCACTTAACGATGACAGTTTTAGGTCCCCTTGTTTTGCTTAACGGTTTTTTTTACAGCCCCGTTTTTGCTATTTTTAAAATATTAAAAAATGTTTTAAAAATGTTTAAAATGCTTGGAATCGTTAGTACATCTAATAAAACCTTTGTTAACTTAATTTGGTTTTGTTCTGAGTCTTTTTGAATTTTTTGTGAGTTTTTTCCCCCATTGAAATAGGCTTCAATGCATTTCAATGGGTTTCGCTTAACATTTTTTCCTATGGGGATTTTCGCTTAAGGATGGTAATCCGTTCCAATTGGAACGGATTATCCGGTTTTCAATGCATCTCTATGGGAAATGGTGTTTTGCTTAACAATGTTTTCACATAGCGATGTTTTTTTTTTTTAACCAATTAAAATCGTTAAGCGAGGCACCACTGTAATAATAATAATACGGTCAGAATTATTTATTTATTTATTTATTTATTTATTCATTCATTCATTCATTCATTCATTCATTCATTCATTCATTCATTCATTTATTTATTTATTATTGAAACAGCTGGTGTTCTTCCTCTGCCTTTCCCAGAACATTTTGAGATTTCTATAATTTTTTTCAATTAGTTCTTGGGGGAGTTTAAGAGTATCCTGTCCTGCTAAACTATTAAAAGATACATCAGGGAGTAGTCCACCTTTTATATGACACCTGTTCCTCCATGGTATGCAATGGAGGGACGTTAGTAAATCTTTCCTCACATGAATGCGTTTCTGTCCCATCAGAACTTGGAAAAGTGTTTTGACTTTTAAATATTAGCAGGAATCCCTTACCTATCATGGCAGTTGGCTTTGCTGGCTTGAGTACATGGGAGTGGGGGAGTAATCCAGAGAAGTTACTGTTTGAGGCTTTGATTACCATGAAATGATTGTCAGAAGCCTCCATGTACAAAAATTTGCAGTTAGTGAATTGGCCATATATATGCTTCATGAGGGAGTGTTGCTTATCATCCAATCACTTTCCGAAGGCTGCTTTCACAGCCAATCAGAATGTCCAGGGAGAGAGAGGAATTCTGAATTTGTAAAACTGCCTGGATTGGTTGGAACCCAGTAAAGAGTGATCTCTGCTTCAAAATCCTTTCTCGTGGGTGGGATTCCTGGTACCCTCCATCTTGGATTATGTTGACTGCCTGACTATTGCTGCTTGATGTACAGTACTCAAAGAAGAAGAGAAGAGAAGGTATCAAGTAGAAGAGAAGAGAGAAATCTCTCTTTAGACATTTTGGTTTGGGGTTGGCGCTTTGATTGTATATTTGCTTTATTTGCTTCTTTCGTTTTCCTGTTTGTGCATGTCTGTTATTCTCCTGTCTCCCCGGTGTGTGTGGGTGAAAATGGCTTCCCTTTTTGACTGAATTTTTTTTAACATTATTTCACTGTTTGATGCATGTTTATTCAGGTAAGGGTGTGCACTTCAGTATTTTTTCTTTTTTAAAAAAGATTGTTCTCTCTTGGTGGTGGTGGTGGTGGTGGTTGCTTTCATGTAAGCTAGCCAGCTAGCCAGTGCCTGACTATTTGGCTATTTCTTTTCCCTTTTTCTGTTGTGGTGCCCAGACCCAGAGGGTCTGTTGTGCTGAGTGGGTGACACAAAACTCACAGTGTTGTTTTATTAGTTTTTGGCTGCTCTACTACTTTATAAATTTGTGGGTGAGTGAACAAGGTATGTTTTGCTGAGTGCCATAGGACGGATGGTGGTGATGCATCTTAGCTGGAAACGCATTTTTGTATTGTCAGAGACTTTCTCTACAAACTAGTGCCCGCATAGGTCTAATGGTGATTTTTCTTTCTCATTTACTGTAAGAGGTTTCCACCTTGCCCTTCATCTAAGAAAGGACAATGTCTTGGGCCAGTTATACTCTGCTAAATTGCAAGCAAAGCTGAAACTGTATGCAGAGGAAACCAGGAACCAAGGAAATACGTATAATGGAAGCAAATAGAACAGGAATCGGAAGCTTCCTGTCTAACTTTGATAAGTTTTCACTCTTTGCTTGGAAAACTTACTAGATTTTCTTTGTCTTAAGGCAAGTATGCAAGAGAATTTCAAAACTAATCAAAGAAAGGAGGGTTGTGAGAGAATAGAGAGTATAACAAAAGAGTGACAAAGAGTTGAAAGTGATTCAGTGAACAAAGAAAGTTAAGTGGCATCTGCTGGAGGTGTGCTTTTAGAAAAATTAGTAATTCTTAGCTGAATCTCTGAACAAGTGGAAGATAGACAAAAAGTAGTGATATGTTTGGAAGATAATATTTTTGAGTTACTGGTTTAAAAGTACAAGCGATTTTTAAAATTAAATCCAAATTAAATCTTCTGGCCGCTGTTGAATTTAATTACTGACCTGATTACTGGTTTGCAAGGAAACATCTATAGCTTCCTTTACTGAAAAGGAGAAATGGGACTGAGAACCTCAGTGTTTCTAAAATTGTACCAACATTTTATTTCTCCATTTGCCACATATTTTTCCATAGCTCGGAAGTCAAAGAAACTGGGAAAATTAAAAGGAATCCATGAAGAACCACAACAGCAGCAGCAGCAGCAGCCACCACCACAAAGTCCAGAAGAAGGGACTACATACGTTGCTCCAGCAAAAGAGCCTTCCGTAAACACAGCACTTGTTCCTCATTTGACTTCAGTCTCACCAGCACTTACTCCCTCACCCGCTATGGTCCTAGAGAACATTGAACCTGAAATTGTATATGCTGGCTATGATAGCTCAAAGCCAGACACAGCAGAACACCTGCTATCTACTTTAAACCGCCTTGCTGGCAAGCAGATGATTCAGGTGGTAAAATGGGCAAAGATACTTCCAGGTAAGGATTCATGATAGGATATCAATTTAATTAAAGCGTCTTGGCTTTAAAATTCATTTTGCTCAAAAGTACTTGGCAAGAACACTTCTGTATTTGGTTCGAGAGCAGTAAGTAGTTCATTGTGTGTGATACTTGTTCAACTGGATACTTGTAAATAAATTTCTTTTCCAGGAGTGGTAAGCTAGATAAATTTATTGTTTCGAATAGATGAAAATGGGTCTACATTGTAGAAGAACTTCTAAGAGCCTTTTCTTAAAGCAATGTTACATACTGTAACATATTTTCCTAATTCTGAGCACAACAGCTAAGCTTCAATTCTAAATTTGAACTAGATGGTATTAACCTGGAATCTGTGTCCTATGCCAGGGCATAGCCATACTCACAATGAAATCAATAAAGTTCTGTGCATTTCTCTCACCATTCAGTAATTGACCCGCAGCCCAAACACCTGAAATTAGAATGTAGGGCATCTAAGGGCCAAGCTAGGTAAAAAGAGTTCATATATGTACCAGAATGTACATAGGAGGAAAAGATTGTCTATTTATTCTAATACAAATTTACCTCTCTCTCCATTTGACATAGTAGTGTGTATTTGTTTTGTAATTGGTAATTAAGACATCAGTATGGCTTTGTTTTCTCATCTCATTTCTTCTACATATGGCTCTGAGAGATTTTCATACCTGGGGGATAAAAATGTGACAGGAGGAAATGTATGTGTGTTAATCTGTGATCTGACCCTAATTTAGGAGTTCTGTTGTATTCTCCAGTACATTTCTTTGTTTTCAGATTACCTTGTACAGTGTCTTTAAAGCATGGGGTCTTCTACTGTCCAGCAACAATGTAAACTAAATGTGTATTGGAAGGGAGTAGAATGTCATATTTAAATTCAGACAGTGGAAATATCTAGTCAAGGCAGCTTTAGCCGTCCTCCGCAGCCCCGCTCCAAGCGCGTTTACTGGCAGCTGCGATCTCAGACAGCAGAGGCTGCCAGCTTCGACTCTGGTGGCTTTATGGGGCCGGGACGGGGTCCACCTATTGACGGGGATGGCACAATTCAGTCACGCAGTCCCCCGTCCCCTCGCCTCCCACTCCTTCCGTCCTTCCCTCTCTCCCCCTCTACTGTTGTGACATGCCCTGGGCACATTCTGGCCGCAATCACCGGCAGTGTAACTTGAAACTTTGGAATTTCTTTAAAAATAAAAAATTGCACTGGGCCGCATTACGAGCTGACCTGGGCCGCATGCAGCCCTCGGGCTGCAGGTTGGACAAGCCTGCTTTAAAGCATGGAGTCTTCTACTGTCCAGCAACAATGCACAGTGGACCCTTGACTTACAGATGGCTTGACTTACAGACTTTTTGAGTTACAGACTTCTCTGGCCGCAAAATTTAGGTTTGACTTACAGACTGAGATTTGACTTACAGACCAGAAAAAAACCAAAATGGAACAAAAACGGCCTGTTATGGGATTAATAGGTTTTCAATGCACTGTAGGTCAATGGAGACTTGATTTACAGACTTTTTGACTTGAGAACCGCCTTCCGATACAGATTAAGTTCTCAAGTCAAGCCCCCACTATAAACTAAATGTGTATTGGAAGGGAGTAGAATGTCATATTTAAATTCAGACAGTGGAAATATCTAGTCATTAAAGTGCAATACTGCTGATGTTCATATGTTATCTTTTATATATTCTTTAGGTTTTCGAAACTTGCCTCTTGAGGACCAAATTACTCTAATCCAGTATTCTTGGATGTGTCTATCATCATTTGCCTTGAGTTGGAGATCGTACAGGCACACAAACAGCCAGTTCCTCTATTTTGCGCCTGACCTAGTCTTTAATGAGTAAGTTATCTGTTAAATAATTGTTTTTACAAAGAAGAACTACATAGAGCGCTGTTAAACTTCATCTGCATATATGAAAACCCTGGGAAGGAATATAACCACAGAAAAAAGAGCACATAAAAAGATTTTCCTGATAAGCTTCGCCTCTAAACAAGTAGTTGATTTAACCCACCCACCCCCCAAATTGCATAGTGCAATGTTTCTTTGACATACTGTACTGTAGCTGATACACAATCTGGATTAACAGAAAACTTTTTTTTGTACCCCACTTTAGCTTATGATGGTTGTGTACTCTGCAGAGCAGAACATCTAAACTGCTTTTTCTGAGCCCATTTACAGAACAGTTCCTTTCTTCATTGTGTACAATCCTTTGGTGTGTTGAGGATTCTTTAATGAAAGCATGCTGTGCCTCCTTGAGAAGGGCTGGACTTGATGATCTGTAGAGTCCCTTCCAGCTCTGTTGTTCAAAGGTTATTAAAGGGATCCTTGTTTTACATTATGGTTCGGATGCTTGAGGAAACTGATTGTTCCTGTTTTAATTTAAAAGATAAAGCCTTTGGTTTGCAAACTTTAAACAATAGCCTTCTTAAGGTACCCTGGCATAAATCTGTTCTTGCTACTAAAAAGTATATCCCACTGTCAGTTGAAGCATGGCATAAGCAATGATGCTGGCATTCTTCATGGACTTCACAGACCTTGGGCTCTGATTTATATTTGTTTATTTATTTATTTGATTTGCTGCTAAAAAATATATCCCACTGTCAGTTGAAGCATGGCATAAGCAATGATGCTGGCATTCTTCATGGACTTCACAGACCTTGGGCTCTGATTTATATTTGTTTATTTATTTATTTGATTGCTTGGACTCTGATTTATATTTATTTATTTATTTGATTTATACCCCACCCATCTGGCCTAAAACACCACTCTAGGTGGCTGATCCAAATAACTAGTTAAGCTCATGTGGGATTGCCCTTTCTCTATGCCCCACACCCTGCCACAGATTTGGACCCCCACATGCTCTATATTATGAATGATTCTGGTGACACTCCCACCCCACTCAGTTTGCTATGTGATTTGATGAGATCTTTGGGAGAAAACTAAGAATCCTTTGGACCTGCCAAGCTACACTTACGGTTCTTCGGATTCTCATAACAAAGAACTAATTGCACTGGATTTAGTGTTGTTGAGAATATCTGCTAGTGCCAAGCTAGACAAAATACTGGATTGTCTTGTCTTAATCTCCTTCGTAAATTTCTTTTACAAAGATCTGTCTGAAGACAGAGAAACTTTACTAGGGCCATAATGATGGGGGAAGGAGAGATTATTCTGATGTTTCCCTACCCTTCTGATGTTCTTTATCCTGTTAGGGAAAAGATGCAGATATGGACATTTCTCTCATGCAGCAAACATCAGAGAATTGACCAAAATGGTGCCAGGGAAAGAATGAACTCTTCCTTCTGCAATTATAAATCTCAAATGGCTACCATATGACTGTTATTAAAATAAATCCAACATTTCCTCTATTTTTTCACTATTAGACTATTGAATACTTCATGTTTTATCTTATATGGTGTGTTCCTAACCCCAATAAATAAAAAATATTAAAAAGATATTAAAACTATTAAAAAGTCATTTGCAGAAGTGACAAAGTGCCCAAAGGTTTAGTTGATTAGACTTTGAATAACTGATGATTGCTTCTGTTGGTGATAAACAGACATGTTGGTTCTATAATCTAATAGGCTGCAATATTTGGAACATTGTTAAATGGCATAAACCATTGACGTGATTATATTACTGCTATGGGTATAATGCAGAAACTCTGCATTCACAAACTCTGCATTCACAGACTGAGATGGGTAAAAGTGTCTAAGTATAGTTTCTTTCAAGTATAGTTGTATCTGTCAACTTCACCTTCCTTTAGTTTTTTTTTTGTTTTGTTTTGGGTTGAGACCTGTTCTGTAAATTCCATTGATTTAATTGGGCCAACTCTGTCTGACTTTAGCATAGTAAATTGCATTAGAATAGTCCTACCTTCCTTTAGTTTTTTTTTGTTTTGTTTTTGTTTTGGGTTGAGACCTGTTCTGTAAATTCCATTGATTTAATTGGGCCAACTCTGTCTGACTTTAGCATAGTAAATTGCATTAGAATAGTCCTATTTGAATCAATGGAATATATAAAGGAGGTGACTCACTAAATTCCCATTGATTCAACTGGTCTAGTTTAGTCTGATTTACTATGCTAAGCAACAGGATTTTGGCTGATGGCTGTTTCGGACAGTTAGTGCTAAAAGATTAGTTCTTTCGCCTCACGTGCCAGACTCTCTTCAATGCAGGAATACAGTATTTTCCAGTTTATACAGGGCATATTCTTTTGCACAAGACATTACAATGACAGTAATATTCTTGTTCATAACTTCTAATAAAGCCAGCTCTCCCTGTACACTGAGGTTTGCTATTTCAGTTTTGGAGGAAGAGGATTATTGCTGAATGATTAAATATAAGCAAAACCTTGAAGCATACTTGTTTTGTTTTGTTTTTTTATTGATATTTCAATTTTGCATTAAGTTCTCCAGAGACAGAATAAGTATATTTTGTTACAGATTTCATGCATGAATCCAGATTATAATGAGATACAAAAGGGCCTAATAGAGGAGAAATATTTTAACACCATATTTTAAAATAGTTTTACTTGGTCCATTTATTGCAGTAGGCTTTAGTTCTTAAGCAATGTGTTTAGGACTGGAATATTATTGTTTTTGAATTTTAAATAGTCATTACTAGTTGTGGATTAACTGTTACCTGCTGAATGCAGTTTCTTAAAAAAAGGCAGAGGAATTCCAGATTGTTCTGCACAGATGTTATCCATTAAGGTGGAAATCGTTGTCATCTTTATAAAAAATAAAAAGGGGTTTTATAGAGTTTTTCTCTGTCTTACCTTCGGCTGGTTGTTATGGAACTGCACGGAAATTTATATTCTTCTGCTTTTTCATATATGATGTAAACCTTGAGTCCAAAGTCCTCTTGCACCCAGAAGTCTAGTCTGGAGAGGAGCTGTTACTGTGCTGGGCTGAATAACAATGAATGTTACCAAATGTGCTTCCAAGCTCCATTTCAGACTGTCTGATTGACTGGGGGTGGGGAGGGCTCGATGAGAGTTCTCCATGCTTTCAGGCTGAAGTGCTTGAATGGGGCAAATGTGAAAGCTAGCTCCTCATTACTGTACTTCCATGTCCCTTTTGGGTCTGCTGCCCCCGGTACCATGCAGAGAGCGAATTTATAGAACAAGGGTGGACTCATAAAGAGCAGGAGTAAATTTATATCTGGAATTTGCAACCAGTTCATTGTAAGTGTGGTCCTGGTGATTTTGAGCAGTTGTAGAACTCCAGAGCTCTCTAGATATAGCCCCCCCCAAAAAAAGAGGCAGAATGGCTTCATGTAGTAAAGACCTATGTATCCACAGCCGGGTGAGAGGGCTGGTATTGCTCAAGTCTACAGAGGAATGCTATTCTATTCACTAGTACAGTAAGGTCACTCAGAATATCCTCAGACAACAAGAATGGTGAATATCTGAAAACAATCCCAAAGGGGGTTGTTTTGCTAGTACAGTGCTGCCTTGCTTAACAATTGCCCCGCATTAAGACAAAATTGCTGTACGATGATCTTTTTGCGATCACAATTGCGATTGCAAAACGATGGTCTAAATGGGGGAATTTCACTTAGTGATGATCGGTTCCCTGCTTTAGGAACCGATTATCGCTTTACGACGATCAAAAACAGCTGATCATCGGGTTTTCAAAATGGCCACCGGGTGCTTAAAATGGCTTCCCGCTGTGTTTAGGGACCGATTCCTCGCTATACAGGCAGCGAAAATGGCCGCTGTATGGAGGATCTTCACTGGATGGTGAGTTTTTACCCCATTGGAACGCATTGAATGGGTTTCAATGCGTTTCAGTGGGGTTTTTCATTTCCTTTTACGATGTTTTCGCTTAACGGCAATTTTCCTGGAACGGATTATCGTCGTTAAGCGAGGCACCACTGTAGTTATCTCCCTAAAGTGACCCATCCATCCATCAGTGAATCATTTTGGCCTCAACAAAAGTACTGTAGTAGGCTTACTGTTGGACCAAAAAGGTTCAGCTTGGGTATAGATCAGGGTTAGGCTGGAACACAATTTCCTGTACATTGTATGAATGCCAGGAAATAACTCGCACCAGACCAAACCACAAGCGGCCCAAAATGTGACCTACATGACTATGAGATCACACTCTCTGTCTGTCTCTCCCTCTCTCACACACAAACATACAAATATACTGTACAAGTGAAACCAGATTTTAGGGGCTGAGAATGCCTGTGAATTCTTTCTGTTTCCTTTATTTTCTTGCATCTTTTCTTGTACAGTATATATTGACTGAAGTTAGGTTGAAAAAAGAATAAATCTGTTTTGAGAACATTGCTTTTATGAGATTCTTAGAATGAATTTGGGAGTTCATCTGGTTACTTTATAACTCGGTGGTGATTACAACTTGAGCAGATTCAACATGCTTTAATAGAGGCATTCCACATTTCCAGCCTAGCAAATCATATTCCTACTTTGGTGCATCAGGCATTACAAGGCACATATATTTAATTTGAATTAGAATTTTCTGTTGGACAACAAAAATTTCAATTTGTGTGAATATACTTATTTCTGAGTGTATTCCACATCAATATATTTATTTCCATTTGCAAAGCCTGTACCCACTTTAAAGACCAGACAGTTATTTTCAGAAAACAACATAATGGTTTACTTTGGGAAGCATCCATTCACCTTGAATAGGTTATTCCTTTGCAGTATTGTAAACCAGTCAAGGGCACTGGTTAGGTACTTAGTAAGAGCATGGTAGTAAGTGTCCAGAGCTGCTAGAAACACCCTACACAGTGATGATATAAATTGAAATGGGTAGATAATAAGCCTGAAAATCAAGCATATTTTAATTAATATCCACTACATTTGGTCTTAATTATAGCTAGGATTTTACAATTTCCTTTTCCAATTAATTTTATATGGCTGAATAGCCGTGCACATGAGTGTCTTCTTACTGTACTGTGTGCACCCACTCATGGAATCCTTGCTGAACTTGAGAGCAACGGGTTTATAACTGCATAACTCACTGTTAAGCTACAGCTACCTCTGTGTGACCTTTCAGCTACTTGAGCTTGTAATTCTTCCTGGTGTCCTGATTTTGTGTTAACTGTTAACAGGGAGAAGAGTAATTAAAAAAAAAAGACTGCATATTCAAGTATATCAGATTTACTTTATTTATGTAGTTTTGGAGAAGAAAAGCATTCATTGTAATTGTTATAGCATTTAATGGATTATTGTTCCACTGTTTCATAGATCATTTGCTTTGAAATGATCTGTGTGCCTTTTGTACTGATGCTGGTTCAGTTTTACACTCTGTTGATTCCATGGAGCGTAATATTAAGCAGCCTAAAAATCTTGTAAATTTTGACAAATCATGAACACCTATGTTATTTAACCAATTAAGTAGAGAGTTGTTGTCACTGGTCTAAAATGTGATGTGTACATTCATGCACACACAATCTAGAAAAATAGATGAGAGTTTTAACGTGTGATTTAAGTTAGAGAATCAGTCAAGTACGTATGATATACTGCCCCATGTTTATCAGATTGTCTGTATTTCACTTCAGAAGCCATCAGGTTTATGAAATTTATTGATATCTTAGATATATAGCTATGTGTTTTCTTCTAAGAGTAATCCAAACCTTCAAGAGGGCAGGGCATACAGAAGTATTTTTAATAGGAGGCCATTTGAATATCAGTTTATCTCCAATAAGAATGGGAAAAACTGATCTTCCATAATTTCTTGAACAGGCTGGAGTGGGAGATAACTCTTCACCCAAAAAATTAAGAATTACTTAGAGACAGTGTGCGCACACACACACGCACACACACACACATGCACTGCCAGCAGAAAATGTCCTCCTACAATGTCCTTTCAAGCATCCCTTGGGCATGAGGTGAGTAGTCAGCTGAATCAGCAGGACTTGTGTATTTCTATAGGATTAAGGTTTTCAGATACACACTCTTTGCAGTGTATTTTTGAAGCATATTTTGTACAGTACTTTCACTATGCTATTTTGGTGTGGTGGTACTTGGTATTCTGGGCTTGTAATAGTGGCAATGGTACATAATTAGCAGCAACTCGAACTATCAAGCTCATGGGCCATTGAATTCTAAGCAACTGCTACTGAAGGAGATTTGTCTGTGGCTGTTGAAGTAATAGTAATCAGATGTCAGGGTCAAGAGCATTTGAAGCTGCTGGAACATCTTTGTGGAATAAATTGGTAGTGTAAGGCTGACTTTTATAGGTGAGATAAAATATATTGTCATTATGTGATCAAGCACTGAGGAGCATTCAGGCAATAGAAAAAGACTGAGAGTTTCCTAGTTCTGTTTAAAAAGTGTGTGGAGGGAGCACCAGAGTTAGAAAACTCTAGTTCATCATAATGAAACCAGGATTGGTGGTGGCAATATCCTTGTTTTAAACCATTCCCCTTCCCCTTCTGTGGCTCCCAAAGACTGCCCTAGGATGAAGTGGATCCCTAGGGATCCCTGGAGCCTGGTTGTGGGGGATGGTTTGGGAATGGGAAATTGACATCATGAAAGATGCAGGATGTAGCTGGCCATCAGATGAGCATTTGCATTGCATTTGGACAGATCCTTCCTTCCTTCCCTCTCAGTGAGGAGACTCAGATGGCATCCAGTACAGTGCATGACTTGTGGCAGAGTGGGTAGTAACCATGTGAAAAACCAGATCTCTGAACACTCATTCTTGCCCTTCTTTTTGCTTTCATTATCCTATCCAAGAAATGATAACTAAATTCTAATGTAAGCCTTCATAAGAGCAAATTATTCCTGTGATTCATTTTCTTGTAACACAGATTTATTCTGCAGTCTGGCCTGCTATGTTTCCAGGAAAACAGTTATCATTCACTAATTAGAAAACAGGTTATTGTGATGCCTATCATTAATGTTACTAATTTAGAAATCTGCAGTAACTAAGTAACTATTGTATCCCATTCTGATATCCATTTTAACATTCACATCATCACCTTTCCACATTAAGCTGTTAACTTAAGTTCATCCTTCTCTTATCTGAAAGAAGCTATGCAGTTGTGTACTTAACTCTTTTTAACGTATCACTTTTTTATTGCTTTTCTCTCTTTTATAGTTTCATAGTCCACCCCAATAGCAAATCAATGACTTTTTATCATGGAAGACTTGCCTTTTAAATTGCACCTTTCGATTTATACAAACATAATCATTCTAGCAGTTTGAAAGCATGTAAAAATGCGAGTAAATAAATAGGTACCACCACGGTGGGAAGGTAACAGTGTTCCATGTCTAGTTGTGCTGGCCACGTGACCGTGGAAACTGTCTATGGACAAACACTGGCTCTATGGCTTGGAGACGGGGATGAGCACCGTCCCCTAAAGTTGGACACGACTGGACAATTTGTCAAGAGGAACTTTTATATTTACCTTAATCATTTTTCATTTTCATTCATAGTTATTACTTGTGCATTGTTGCACAGCAAAGTGGTGGATTCTTCTGTAGTTCCCAATACTATAAGGATCTGGCAGGGCTATCAGTTTACAGCAAAGACAAATGCACTTACTTGTTTAACAATGGTGACAGATACTTTAATTTCATCTTGTTAACTTACTTTAATTTGCTTCATGTATTTGAAAACTTCACCTGGTCAAGAATGCTGTGATCAAACTGCTGACTGGGGTTGGTTACAGAGAACATGTGATGCCCTCATTCCAACAGTTTCATTGACTGTCCATCTCTTTCTGGACACAATCAAAAAATGCTGCTTATGACTTATAAAATTTTATATGATTTTCGATCAAGCTGTTGGAAAGATTGATGGGGATGTGAGAGAAGAGCATCTCAGTGGCTGTTCTTAGGTTCTGGCATTCCCTGTTGATGATAGCTGGGTTAGTCCCCTTTCTGTTTTCCATGTTTTGTGAGACATAGCCATCTTTCTTTAGGCAAGCCTTTGGAATTCAAGCTGGTCTGTTGCTGAGAAGCTTGTAACCGTTCAGTGCTGCCTGTTTCTTTTATTGTTTGGGTTCTGTTTTACATTAATTGATTTGTTTTTCTGTGATACTTTAAAGACTTTTTTAAAAAATATTTTTCTATTGCTAGGTGCTTTGACAAACATTTCTCAACAGAAAGCAGGATGTAAATTTAACAAAACAAAAAGTGATCTAGTTCATACTATTTATAACATGGCAATACAAAAAAGAAAGGCTTGTTTCCAGAATCTAACCTTAACTTTCCACTGGCTTGTCATTTCAGCAAAGATGAACTAGCTGGCCAAAAGCAGAGTAGGGAAGGACCTAGCAAGAAAGTTCTCAAAAATGTTATCACTGCTGATGTATATCTCAAGAAGGAAGATGTTACAGGCTTCATTATCTCATGTTGTATCCAGGTATACTTAGAAGGGCTTAACGTGACTGGATCATAGTTCCAAGTGTTTTACTGTGTTTACCCAAGCCCTGGTTGTAGTCTGTAAACAGTTGCTAATGATATAAGAGTACACCTTTGGGAACAGGCTGCTCTGATATATGAATTGCCATTTGAAAGATTCATTGTGCTTCTATTCTTATCTGTATTTTGTCCTTTTCTTTTTCAGAGAGAGGATGCGCCAGTCTGCAATGTTTGAATTATGCCAGGGGATGCACCAGATCAGCCTTCAGTTTGTTCGCTTGCAACTTAGTTTTGAAGAATATACCATAATGAAAGTATTGCTGCTGTTAAGCACAGGTATACTTGTTAGTTAATTCTGACCCTAACAGTTGCTAATTTTTATTTGTATTGTTATCATTTTCGTGCTGGTGGGATGTATCTGATTGCTAGTCCTGAATAAACTGGACCCGTTGAGCAAACTGATTTGTTAAATTAACACATAATTCTCATCGATGGAACTGGTCTACTCTGTGAGAAAATAATGACTGGGTTTAACCCAGAATAACTCAAGAAATGTTTTTAAAAATAACTAGGGTGACAAAAGGTTATGTTAAGTCTTGGATTCCATATCTTAAAATAGGAACCTACAGTCAACTTTGAAAAGAGACGAACAAATAACTTTGGGATTGGCTCCTGTAATGCATTGTATGTGGAGCTGTTCATGGAAACTTCAGGATCCAACATTGTCCCACTTACATGACCGAATGCACTTTCTCTTTGCACATCAAGGTATCCAGCATGAGCCGTTCACTGCAGGTAGAAGAGAGCTACCTGTCCGACAAGGTTGACTAATGTGTCACATAGACACTAGTGGGGAATGTGAGCACAGCCCCATTGGCACAGGCTGCCATGCCGTCTCCTGCCTCCCTCTTCACCTGATCCTATTTAGGAAAACTAGCTCAGCCTTTTGGTCCACCAGTGTTTACTTAGAATATTGGCCATTTTAGTTTAGGAGGCAGCTGCCAGGCTATTAAAAAGGGCTGGTAATGCATTAGGAGCATGTCTCCCACATGCAGCTCTATGACATATGTGAGAAAATAATGACTGGGTTTACCCTAGAATAACTCAAGAACTTTGGAGGTCTGCATTCAATTTTCTGTAACTTTCCTTATCTCCCTTACATTTTGTTCCCTTTCTCCTCTCTGCTATTTCTAAGGCCTCATTGGACAGCCACTTTGTTTTCTTGCATTTCCTTTTCTTTGGGTTGCTTTTTGTTGCTGCCTCCTATACAATGTTACGAGCCTCTATCCAAAGTTCCTCAGACACTCTGTCCACCAAATCGAGTTCCTTAAATCTGTTCTTCACTTCACTGTGTATTCATAAGGAATTTGGTTTAGATTATACCTCACTAGCCCAGTGGTTTTTCCTATTCTCTTCAGTTTAAGCTTGATTTTGCTATGAGAAGCTGATGATAAGAGCCACAATCCGCTCCAGGTCTTGTTTTTGCTGACTGTATAGAGATTCTCCATCTTTGGCTGCAGAGAACATAATCAATCTGATTTC